AGTGTCTTAGAGAAAATGTATTTCCTCACAGCAAAAATGAAAGGCATGAGTAGCTGCAGTACAAGTGATCACTGCAGCACAAGGAGAAGGAATTACAACACTGTTAATTCTGATCAAGGATGCTAACAGATGACAGGAAAGGAAGTAAGGAACAGAAGAACATAACTGATGTTTAAGAGAAGAGTGCATTTAGAAATACATGTATACTCAGTGGCACAAGCATTGAGGTCCTGAGTTCGATTCTCAATGCAAAAAACAAAATCTCTATAGAAATATATGTACACCAACATCTAATATACCTTCTGCTCTCTGTCGTGTACCCCTACCAAGACTGTCCTAAATCATATTCAGAAGACAACCACAGGCAGCCAGTTTTAGGGCCACATTTAACCTGAACAAATAAAAAAGAATTTGAAGCCAACAGGTGTGGTAGCACACACCTGGAATCCCAACACTTAAGTGGCTGAGGCACAAGATCACAGTGAGTTCAAGGCCAGCCTGAACTGTACAGCAAGACCCTCTCTCAAAAAACAAACAAACAAAATAAATGAACATGAAGGGCTGGGGATGGAGTCCCAAACTGCAAGCTGGAGGACCAGGTGTGTACACCTGTAATCCGTTACACTCTGTGAGATTGAGGCAGGTGGATCACAAATTCAAACCTAGCCTTTAGGGCAATCTAATGAGACATCATCTCAAAACTAAAATAGAAAAAAGGGCTAGTAATCTAGCTCAGTGCGAAGGCCCAAGCGTCAATCCCTAGTATCTGGGAGAGGGAAGGAAAAAAAATGTTGGGCATGGTGGCATATATCTGTCATTCCAGCATTCTGAGGCAATAGGATGTAAAGCTCAAATCCACCCTAGGTGATTTAGCAAGACTGACTGAAAATGAAAACTGAAAATAGAATAGCAACATAACTGTGTGTAAAGGGTTCAAACCCCAGTACCCAGGAGGGGAAAAAAGAATCTGAAAAATTAACCGGTAAAACAAAATGTAAAGAAATAATGCACAACTCATTCAATGAGTATAGAGAAAACTAATTTTGGAGTATCATCCATGAGGCATAATCTAAGAACTTTATATGGCTTCCCTCATACAATACCAGCAATGACTGTGGAAGGTAACAGCATTATCTCACAATTTTTTTTGGTAGTGGGAATCCAATTCAGGACCTTGCACTTGCCAGGTGGGCGGGCACTGTGCTGGGGGGCTATATCCTTGGCCTATCTCACTTTTAAAAATGTGGAAATTAAGCCAGGTGTGGTGGCACAAGCCTATAATCCCAGCACTCAAGAAGCTGAGGCAGGAGGAGCACTGGAGACCAGCCTGGGCTACAAACTGGAGCTCAAGGCCAGCCCAAACTATACTGGGAGACCCTGTTTCAAAAAGACCACTAAAAAAGAAAAAAAAAAAAAAAAAAGGAAATTAAGAGTCAGCAAAGTTTAACTTGTTTAAGGTCACATGGCTAATAAATCTTACTACAGTATTTAAGCCCCAGTCATACACACCATAATTAAAAATTTCATTCCAGCCCATAATGAACACTTTCTAACCTAGCTACCAGGCAGAATAAAATTTACTAGAGTCCCACTCAATCTTTTCTTACTACAGATCATGAAGAGTATATACTAAGAAGTGGCCAGGCCTATTTTCTAGAACTTCTCAGCTCTTCTATCACAACTCATGATCCTCAACTGCACCACTATTCTCTGCCACCAGACACCTAACAGCCTTAAAAAAACTACACTTATAAATAAGTTCTTACTCCCTTTTTGGCACTGGTCCTGCTGACTGTACATGATGGTTTTTTGCTAACCAAGAATTCTTTAGACCACTTATGAAAGCGCAACTACTACTTAATTTGTCACCCAAATTTCCGCAGTATGTTTTATAAAGTTGCAACTTTGAGATGGACTGGACTCGGACACCAAACGAATGCAGCATCACTCATCAAAGCTCAGCTTTCAGTCACAAGCGGCTAAATATTCACGCAGTGCTAAGGATGACAACACAAACGCCGGGAGAGGGGCAAAGACAGGATCTGATAAAAGATACCACAGAATTCAGGCAAGCCAATTCTCAGCGTTTAACAATGTAAGAAACATGACCCATATAAAGGCAAAACATGGCAAATAAAAAAGGAAACAAGTTGAGGGACACACACTTCTAGGCAAAACTCAATATACATAGCTGTAGCTTAGGACCGAAAAGTAAAAACACAGCCAATTAAACCTGTACAAACAATTTAACCAACGCTGGAACACAGCCAGGAACAATACCCAAACTCTTGAGGAAACTCTGGTAGGAATTTTAAGACTTAGTGATCAGCACTTGAGCATCGCGGCAGGGTCTGTCTTTAACTCCCACTCACCTTTCCTCCTTTAATCACTGAAGTAGGACCAGGCTGAGTTCCTGAGAAAATAGGTCTGGAGAGTCACTGAAGGACTGAGAAAAGTTAAAAGTTTACAAGGCAAAGGTGTCTCTTCTTCGGAACATAACAAAAGATTTCATGAATACAGTTTACTTTTTTTTTTTTTTTTTAGAAATCCTCAGGGCTATTTAAAACCAGAGGTACTTATCTGACTGCTGGAAGAGAATCCACACACATAGTAAAATGAACCAAATGAGGATTAGAAGCCAAACAAGTTATCTCTCTGCTCCGCTAAAACTAAACGTCACTGAAAAGGAAAACTTGAACCTTTACAACACTGAACCCTAACCAAACCACCTCTCAACAAGAAGCCGCGGAGCAGGGGGAGGGGAGATCCCGGAGAGAACGTGATAGCGCCAGCGCCGGTTTGTTTACAGAGACTCTAGCGACAATCATGAGTCAGAAATTCAAGCCACCGATGCTTTCCAACTAACAGGGACCAAACGGGACCGTTCTAAGGCGTCCTTAAGCGGCCGGAGGCGAACTCTTTAGAGCATTCTATAGTACAGGACCAGCCGCCGCCGACCCCCTCCCGGATCCTTGCATCTCGCTACCCTGAGGTGCAGGGCCAGGAGCCGGGTTGGGGGATGGGACGCCGCACGGGGACAGGGACTCCGGGACAGCCGCGTCCCGGAGAAAAGGGGAGCAGCAGAGGCACACAAATGGGTCACCCAACTAAGCCAGACGTCCTCGCGAATTATGGGGCTGGCCCTGAGGGGCAATGCAGGGCTGACTGCAGAAAGCAGAACAACCCTCCCAGCAGTGCCTCGGTGCAGGGAAGGAAAAAATCCGGGCCCTAGGAGCCTGGGGAAGTGGGTCAGGCTCATCCTGAGCGGAACCGGCCCAGGAGAGGGGGGCAGGCCGAGCCGGAACAAGACACGGACCGGTTAGGTCAAGGGGGTGTCCGGCTGGGGCAGTTACAAGCACGGGAGCCGGCGAGACTCAGCAGCCTGCTTCCCGCCTTGGGTCATTCTTCTGCCAGCGGCTGCTCCAACTGCTCCAGGCCCAGCCGCCCCATCCACTGCCACCGCCAACGCCGCCGCCATCTTACACTGGCCAGCGGCCGCCACCACCTCCGCCTCTGCTTTCTGCGCCTGCGCCTGCGCCACCACGCTTTCCGGCCCCAGTTTGCGACGATCTGCGGAGAGCACTGGGGGGACAGCTGCCGCGCGAGCCTTCAGTTCCAACCCTCCCCAGAGGAGGGTAGGGGGCGGAGCTCAGGAAGAGGAAAAACGGCCAGGGGCGCGTGCGCACGACTGCGGAAGCAAAATTGTTTTTGCAGTGTTTCGGGAGGGCTGGCTTCTCTCCTCATGCTCAAAATAAGTGCGACTTAGGGGCTTCCCAGAGTTGTGAAGTTCCCAGCATAATTTCTAAGGTGCTAGCAGACAAATTCCCCAGTCACCTCCAGTCTTACGGTTTTCGAACATAGGGAACGAACAGTCCTCTCAAATTTGTTCTGAAAACTCAACCTTTGCCTTTGCGGGCTAAATTTCCTTAAGTGATTTCTATGCTCTGGAAGCCCGCTTGACACTGACAGCCTCCATTTATTCTTTTTCAAAGAGGGCCTCTAAAGTCCGAGGTGCTATTAAGCTACTTAAGAGGCTGTCCGAAGATGAGTGGCCTGGTAAACATTTCCAGGAACGCGCCAGGATGCAGACTTAACATCTTTTTCTTATTCTTGCGGGACTGCAAAATGAACTCAGGGGGCGCTGCACCACAACTTCAGTCTTTATTTTTTGGTGTCATAAATCGAACTCACGACCTAAGTTTGCCAAGCCGGCTACCGTTATCCAATTATTCAAAGTCATGTATTACTTAAGTACTTGCTGCAATAGACTGCTGGTTCCTCTACCTCCATTACTACCCTACTTCAATTAAACACAGGAGAGCCAGGGGGACTTTTTAAAAAATCTATGGGCATAGTTCCCCTGAGCAAAACCTCCAATCACAACGAAGATCAAAAGACCCCTTGGCCAAACACCCCTCGTGGTCTGGTGCCTTTTTTTTTTTTTTTTTTTTTGAGACAGGGTCTCCTTATTGTAGGTCAGCTTGGTCTTGAACTCGCTATGTAGCCCAGGCTGTGGATTCTCCTGCCTCAACTTCCTGAGTGATTGGTTTACAGGTGTGTGTCACCATGCCCAGGGTAATTTGTTTTGTACATGGGATTGAACTCACAATCTCACACTTACCATGCAGGCACTTATGCCCCTGAGCTAAATCCCCAGCTGTTTTGGGTTTGGGTGTTTTTTTTTTTTTTTTTAATAGGCTCTCCTATGTACTTTTGGCTGGCCTCAAACTCAGCACAATCCACTTGTTTAAACTTCCCAAGTGTTGGGATTACAGGCACCACCACACCTGGATCTCATATTTGTTTTAGTTCTGATTTTATCTTCTCTCACACTACTCAGCTGTGCTTTAGCCTCACTGGCCTTATTATTCAGACTGCAAAAGTGTATTCCAGCCCCCAAGTTTTATCCCTTTCACTTGGAATGTCCATCTCCTGTATTTTTATTAAAGTGAATCTCTCCATTCAAATCACATTACTTAAAAAAAAGAGAGACACAGCTCTTGACTACTTCAACTATTTTTATTAAATTGGATCTCTCCAAATCACATTACTTAAAAAAAGAGACACAACTCTTGAGGCAGGAGAATCTACAGCCTGGGCTACATAGCGAGTTCAACTAAAATGAAACCACTTCCTATCATCTACCTGTTTTTTTTCTAAAGAGACAGGGTCTTGCTGTGTTCCAGCCTTTCTTCTCAACACTCCTGGGCTCAAACGATCCTTCTGTCTTGGCCTCTTGAGTAATTAGGACTGCAGGTGTGTACCTGCAGTTTGCACCTCTCTTTTTCATAATTTTAGCTATAATATTTTAATCTAATTATACTACTAGAATAGAAGCTCTTGAGGGCAGGAATTATGTCTTTTTCATATTTGTAACCTAAACACTTAGAAAAGGACTAGAGGGAATGGCAATCCTACTATCTTAATTCATTCTTTCATTCACTCAGAATTACAGAGTTCTTACTATATGAGAAGCTTTGTTTTAGGTGCTGGGGATACAACAGTGAATAAAACAAACCAATATTCTTGTTTTCATAGAACTTACTAATACAGGAGTTGGGAGTCAAGAGTGGAGACACACAAGTAATATAAAGTTATAAAGATAACTTTGTAAAAGAAAACAGAGTAAAGGCTTGTTACTTTTTTTATAGGGGCTTAGGGGAGGCTTTAGTTGAGTAACATTTGAGTATAGCCATATACACTTGGGAAAGAACATTCTAGTCAGAGGGAACAGCAGGGTAAAGACCATAAAACTTGTGTTTACTGAGCTAGGAAACCAATGCGACAAAAGAACAGGTAGGAAATTAGTATGGAGAGTGGAGGACAGACTAGTAGATCAAAGAGAAACTATTATATCCTATGAATGGCTGAGAGGCCATAGAGGATTTTGAGTAACAGTAACAAGATCTCATTCATTCATTCATTCATTATGTCTTACATGATTTTATTTAAACTTAAGTTTACTGTGGTTGATTCTTTAACCACAGAAAGCAAAACAGAAGCTCAAAGACCAGTTAGGAAGCTATTGCAGACCTGCAAGATTAGTACTACAATGGAGGTGGCAGTAAGTGGCTAGACTCAGAATGTTGAAAGTGGCATAGAAGTGACTTGCTAGGAGACTGAAAGTGAAGTATAAGTTAAAGATTAGGGCCTTGTACTGAGACAGAATATATGGGGAATAGGGTTTTTTTGGGTGGGGGCAGAGGAGACATTCAGTTGTATTTCAGACATCCCATTAGAGCTATACAAATGAAGTAATAAATAGACAACTAGGGCCACACATATAGCTCAGTGGCATAAGCGCCTGTCTGGCAAGCCCAAAATTGGGAGTTTGATTCCTGGTACTCCTCCCGAAAAATAAATAAACAAACCAACAACCATAACTATGAATCTGGAACTCACAAATTGATCTCTGAAAAAATTGATCACTGTATTTGGAAACATGAAAGTTAAGACTCTGACCAGAGGCTGGACATGGTGGCAAATGCTTCTAATCTCAGCACTCTGGAAGATGAAGAGACAAAAATTGGGGACTCATTAAGTTTTGAATCAGGGCCAGGGATTTAGCTCAGCAGTGTAAGCGCCTGCCTGGCAAGAGTAAGATAGTGAGTTCAATCACTGGTACCAGAAAAAAAAAGTTATGAATCAGTAGATAGCCATGGGATAGGGAAAGCTCACTTACCAGGGAAGAAAAGTAGTTCCTAAAGACTGAGACGTCTAGTCCTGAGGCATTCCAACTAGTAAAGGTCAGATATAAGGAACACCTAGCAAAATTTATTAAAAATAAGTAGTCAAGAAAGAGGAGCCAGGCATGATGGCACATCTGTAATACCAGCACTCAGGAGGCTGAGGCAAGAGGATCATTGCAAGTTCAAGGCCAGCCTGGATTACAAAATGAGCTCAAGGCCAGTCTGAACTGCATAGCAAGAGCCTATCTCAGAAAGACAAGAGAAAGTAGACTAAGAAAAAGGGGTCTTATAAAACAAGTTTAAAAAAAGGCACTATAGACTGTCATTCCTGCTCGAGAGACTGGAGAGAGAGACAGACAGAGAGACAGAGAGAGAGAGAGAGAGAGAGAGAGACTGAAAAAATTGATCACTGTATTTGGAAACATGAAAGTTAAGACTCTGACCAGAGGCTGGACATAGTGGCAAATGCTTCTAATCTCAGCACTCTGGAGGATGAAGCAGGAGGATCACTGTGAGTTTGAGGCCAAAAAAAAAAAAAAAAAAAAAAAAAAAAGCCTTCTTTATGGTATGGTTTCTGTATCCATTACTCTGTGGACACCATGGTTATTACTACCAAACCAATTGCCATTACCACTAATTTCTCTTTGATTTTTCCTATTTAATTTGACATTGTGATAATTATCTCTTGTGAGATTCAATTTCGTTGCATTCTGTAACACTATACTTCCATAGTTCCATTTATAGCTCTCTGACCACTTATTTCATTAGTATCTCTCCTTCATTCTACATGTTCTCTCAAAAGTGATTGTAACTATTTGCCAGTTTAACTACCATTCACATAATGATGATCCTCAAGTTTTTATTTCTTTTTTGTCTTTTTCGTTTTTATCGGTACCAGGGATCGAACTCACGACTGCCTGCTTGCAAGGCAGGCGCTTATGCCATTGAGCTAAATCCCCAGCCCCCAAGTTTTTATTTCTAACCTAGGCTTCTCTTTCAAACTATAGACTCAGGATCTGATAGTTAATGGAACTTACTTTTTTAAAACAGCTTTATTATGTATCATATAGCATTTATTCACTTAAAGTGCACAACTCAATCGCAACACACAGGATGTACAGATATGTACAACCATTACTAGAGTCAATCTTATAACATTTTCATTACCTCAAAAAGAAAACCAGTTCTCATAAGCTATCACCTACCCCCAACTTCCCATCCTGCCACTAGGCCCTAAGAAACCATGACTTTTGACTGGACATCAAGAGTTTTCATAACAAAAACAAACAAAAAACTGGGTGATATGGTACAGGCCTGTAATTCCATTTGGAAAGCTGAGGCAGGAGAATCACTGTGAGTTCAAGGTCATTTTGGGCTACATAGTGAAACCCTGTCTCAAAAAAAAATTTTTTTTTGAGTTTTGAGATAAGGTCTCGCTATGTAGTTAAAAACTAGTCTTGTACGCAGTATGTAACCTGTGCTGCCCCCAAATTTGCAGTGCTCCTCCTGCCTTAGCCTCCCAATTGCTGGGTTTACTGGCATGCAGCACAATGCCCAGATCTCCATTTTTTGTGCTTATTTTTACATTCTAAATTTTCACATGAATGGAATCATGTATGTGGCCTTTTGCAACTGGCTTCTTTCACTTACAAGCTTTTAAAGTTCATTTATGCTTTAACATAATGTCCCCTTATGTCCAAACAATATTCTATTGTATGGATGAATCACATTCTGTTTATGCACTAAACCTTTTTCGGGGGGCGGGGCAGTGTGGATACAGGCTCTTACTGTGTAGTTCAGGCTAGCCTCAATTCGCAGTGCTCCTCCTGGCTCAGCCTCTCAATGCTGTGATTACAGGTGTATGCCACTAGGCCAGCTTTTACTTTCCTGATGGTGTCCTCTGAAGCACAAACTTGTTTACTTTTAATAGGATCCAATTTATTTTTGTTGTTGTTGCTTGTGCTTTTGATACCATATCTTAGAGTCCTCTGCCAAACCTAAGGTTATGAAAATTTTACACTCTGTGTTTTCTTCTAAGATAGGTCTTTGATCCATTCTGAGTTCATTTTTGTAAATGTATCAAACTGTTCTTTTGCACAAAAATATTTACTTGTTCTAGCACCACTATTCTCATCTTAACTCAGAGGCAAATGAAAAAAAAAAAGACTTATTCTCTGTACACTGAATGATCTTGGTATATTTGTCAAAACTCAGTTGGCCACAAATTAATAAGTTTATTTCTAGACTCCACTCTATGCCACTGGTTTTTTTTTTTTTTTTTTTTTGGTCTTTTTCGTTTTTATCGGTACCAGGGATCGAACTCACGACTGCCTGCTTGCAAGGCAGGCCAAGGCAGGCGCTTATGCCACTGAGCTAAATCCCCAGCCCCCATGCCACTGGTTTCAATGTCTGTTCTCATGCCAAACCACGCTGTCTTTTTGATACAGGGTCTCATTGTGCAGTTCAGGATGGCCCAGGCTGGTCTCGAACTCACAACGATCCTACCTCAGCCTCCTGAGTGCTGGGATTACAGGAGTGAGCCACCACGCCCAGCTGTCTTATTTTGAAGTTGTTGCATTTTTTTTGTGTGTCTTTTTCCTTTTTATCGGTACCAGGGATCAAACTCACGACTGTCTGCTTGCAAAGCAAGCGCTTATGCCGCTGAGCTAAATCCCCAGCCCCTAAGTTGTTGTATTTTTTTCAGAATGGTTTTGATTATGCCATGTCCACTGAAATTTCATATGAATTTTGTTGTTGATCCAGGATAGTCTTGAACTTGATGTGATCCTCCTGTCTCATTTTCCCACATGCTGGGATTACAGGCATGCACCACAATCATATATAGAATTTTGGAACCAGCTTATTATCTACAGAGAAGTTTCTTGGTAATCTGATAGAGACTGCATTGAATCTGGAGATTTGTTAGTGTTACCACCTTAACAAGATTAAATCTTCTCATCCACAAATGTGGATGTTTTCCCATTTACTTATCTTCTTTAATGTCCTTCAAAAATGCTTTGTGGAGGGCCAGAGATTTAGCTCAGTAAGTACCTGCCTGGCAAGTGCAAGTTCATGAGTCTGATCCCCGGTACCAAAAAAAAAAAAAAAAACAAAACCCCAAAAGAACAAGAAAAATGCTTTGTGGTTTCAGAATATAAACTTTTCATTCTATTAAATTTATTTCTATCTTTTATTGATGAATGGAATTGTTTTCTTGAATTCATCTTTAGATTGTTCATTACAATGTATAGAAATACAATTGATTTGTTAATTTTATTTATTATATTTTTTGAGACAGGGTCTCACTACGTAGCCCAAGCCTAGAACTCATATCATCCTGTCTCTGCCTCCCACATGTAGGGATTACAGGTGTGTGCAACCATGCCTGGCTCTGTTAATTCATTTACCTATGTATTTACAAACAGTATCTACATTGCTCAGGCTGGTCTTGAATTTGCAATCCCCTGCCACAGCATCCTAATGCTGGGACCACAGGCTTGCACTACAATGCTCAGCTACAGCTGACTTTTGTATACTGAAAGTATATCTTGCAACCTTGCTGAGCTCATTTATTATGGATTCCTTAGGAATTTTTATATACAAAATACTTCCATCTATGAACATTAGCAGTTCGGGAGGGTTAGTGTGGGAAGAATCCGTAGGTCCCCAATGGCAGAATGTGTAGCCAGCCTTGAGCATGTCCACTGTCCCTCCTCCTGTACATGTGTCTGGTGCAGGTTGGACAAGAGACCACCACCAGCTTGAGCAAGCACAGAAGCCATCTTTATTTTTTCTTTTTGTCTTGCCTGTCTTAATTAGAACTTTCAGTACACCACTGACTAGAGGTAGTGAGAGTGGATACTCTTGTCTTGTTCCTGACCTTAGGAGAAAAAAAAATCTATTTTCTCACCATTAAGTATGATAGAAGCTACAATGTTTGCATAATGTACTTGAGCAAAGTGAGGAAGTTCTCTTTTATCTTGGCCAATGGCTCTTTAATATTCCAGAAGAACTCACCTTTACCTTCTATCAAACTCCTACTGTTCCTTTTATCTTAGTTGGCATCATTATTCACCTGCCTTAGGTTACATTCCCTAGGCGTAGAGCCTGAGAAAGGGATTTTATACAAATGGTTTATCAATAACCTGTAATGAGACAAGGGAAAAAAGGCAGGAGAGGGAAAGGAAAGTTAGGCAAAGATAGAGATTCACGTGATAGGTTTAGCCTACATTAGGAACTCTGGAACAGACAAGGAACATTTGTCCCACCTTGAAGAAAGTAAGTTCTGATTACACAATTACTGATTGCATACCATCACTGATAATGCTATCTCTATTAGAATCCAATGTACTTTTTTTTTTTTTTTTTTTTTGTCTTTTTGGGACAGGATCTCCCTGTGTAGTTCAGGCTGGCCTTGAGCTCACTTTGTAGCCTAGGCTGTTCTCGAACTCACAACGATCCTCCTGCCTCAGCCTCCCAGTGCTGGGATTACAGGCGTGAGCCACCACGCCCAGCTCAATGTACTTCTTTGCAGAAGTTGACACCTTATCATTGGCTGTGGTGCTGCCCTTGGGAGGACATACCTTCCAGAAATGCTCAAAAGTAACCTCTGCTGGCACAGGCAAGTTCTCAGGAGAGACAACTATGCCATGAGAATAGCGATATGCTGTTAACAGGCTGTATCATGGCTTCCAGTACTGTGGACTACAATGCACTTTTAGCTCTGCTCAGATCAATTTGCTTTGTACATTAACGTAACATCACCCAGGCAGTCCTGAAGCTGTAAATCTTCATCATCACCTGTACCACCCATTCTGGTTTTCATCTCCACTTCTGCTCTTCTAGATAGCTTAACTGGTAGGTTGACCCACACTCTCACCCCGAGAGTTCTGAGCCTTGGTGACCATGCCCTTCATCAGGCCATAATTATTTATTTATTCATACACTTAACATTGAGTACGACCAGGGGCAAGATATCCCAAGGGCCACATTAAGCATCCCTTATCTCTTTGTTCCCATTAGGTAGCAACAGGCTTGCCTCATAATGTGGAGTCAGTTATCCTAGACACTATGGTAACTTACTTTCTTTGCCTAGTAAGTCTCCTGGCATTAGGGGCCTGAAGTAATCAGATGGCAATCATATCTTTAAGTTCCCAATGTACTCACTTTGACAGGATATATACTAAGTTTCCTAAGATTCTTATGTTGTGCCAGTTGGAAGCATACTCCCTCCAGGAACCAGGTCTGCAGACCTATAAAACTTAAAGCTGCAAAGCAGGTGTGGTATCACTTGCCTGTAATTCCAGCCTTTGGGAGGTTGAGGCAGAACTACAGCAAGTTTGAAGCCAGCCTGAACTACATATCCAGACTGTCTTGAAAAAGCAAAAAACTGTCCCTGCAAAAAGCCATCTCATTGCTCTATCAGGCCAACATCTTCCTAACAGAAAACAATTTTGTAGGATCACTGGACCCCACAGCTCACATGACCACCATTATGTTCCCCACTGGCATTATCTGTGATTTGCCACTAAGTGGGTTTTCTGTTCCAAGGCATTTTTATGTGCGACCCCATGCCAGTTGAGTCCTTGGATGGCAGTAGTAGCTAAGGTCCTGTAGGTAGGACAAGCAAAGTATGTCATCAGTCCTAGTCAGGATACATTTTTACCTTTTGTAAAATGGAAAAAGGTCAGTATAACCAATTCTCCCACCAAGTGGCAAGTTGTCTTCCTTGAGTAGTACTAAACTGAGGATTCAGTGTTGGTCTCTGTTGCTAACAAACTGGACGATCTGTCAGTTTATGGTAGCAGTAGCTATGTTAACCTTGAGAGTGAAGCGCATGATAAAAAGGTAACGAAGAGCTTCTTTCTTAGCCACCATGGTAATTCTGTTGATAAGCACACTGCAAGCACTGGGCTAGCTGCTGTAGTCCTGAACAAATAATCCTGTTCGTTTGGTCATGTGGTGCTTTGCTGGTGAGTACCTTAACTACCTCTCACAGATCTATCCAAGTGCTTGTCAGCAAACCTTGTTACCTATTTTCTTATGTTGCTCTAAGCCCTTTTTGTATGCTTTATCTCAGGTCACTTTTTCTCCCAAAAGGGATGACCACGTGTATTACCTGAAACACTACATATTGAGCAGATTTCTCATCATTATTTCAGGGACACTTTTCAGTGGGGTTATTACGATGCTGGAGTCCCTACCTGGCTTGTATATCAAGCCAACCCAAATATGAAGCATAGGTAGATTTTTTTCTCTCTTATCAAATGGCTAAAATAATTCTCTCATGTGGTCATAGGTATCATCTAAGAAAAAATAACATGACAAAGGTAAATGACACGAGGGTGGTAGTGGCTTGAGACCCTTCAATCAAGCTGATTTACTTGGTAGGCATGGCAGCACAGACCTATAACCCCAGCACTCAGGAGGCTGAGGCAAGAGGATCACTGCAAGTTCAAGGCCAGCGTGGCTATACAAAGTGAGTTCAAAACCAACTTGAACTGCAGTGAGACCCTGTCTCAACAAGGTTAAAAAAAAAATCTTACTTCAGCCACTACGTTTGCTTGAGCCGCTTCCTGAAGGTACCATTTGTGTTTTATAATGGATTGCTGAGATATCCACTCAACCTAAACTTGGATGGTCTGACAATAATGAGCCAGTTGTATGTGCAACTGGTCACACAGCTTTCATTTGGGTACACAGTTCTACTGATGCCTAACAGCAAGAACAGTGGTGCATGCCTGTAATCCCAGGATGCAGAAAGTAGAGGCATGAGGATCATGAGTTCAAGGCCAGCCTATCAAGGCCATCTCAAAACAAAACAAAATCACATCTGACACGGGACTGCAACTGGGACTACTACTTAAGTTTGTAGTCTGTTATCCACCATAAATCATAAAATTTTTGCAAAGGCTAGACAAGTGAAACTGAACGAGGACATGATGGAGACCAACACCCTTGCATCCTTCATGTCTTTAAGGGTAGAACTAGTATCTGTCCTTTTCCCCCTATGTAGTATTACTTTTTATTATTTTGGGAGAAGTGGGAGTGCAGTTTGAGAGCAATAGTTTAACTTTTCTGCCAACTGTAAAAAAAATGTGTTCATTCTTAGCTAAGATTTGGAAAAAGAAATAAGTACAAAGTAGGTTTTAGATCCCTATAAGGCAGATTGAGGCTGGCATTCCATTTATTACCTGACTCCATAATTCCCTAAAATAGAATGAAGCTGGGATGTTAGGCAGGCAAGCACTGCTATGGTGCTTAGGGTACTTTGGTGTTAGTGTCAATTCAGGTTCTGTATCCTCATTTCCCAAATATTCTGGGTATTCTTTCCCTCGTGTGTGGTTAACTAAATAAATGCCATTCTTTCAAGTGCTAGTCTAAGAATTATCATAAGCTTAGAAACTAGACAACTGTGTGTTTTCAATTAATTACTGACCTCAGTCCATAATTTTTTTTTTTAAATTGGTACCAGGGATTGAACTCACAACTGTATGCTTGCAAGGCAGGCACTTATGCTGCTGAGCTAAATCCCCAGCCCTATTCAACAATTCTTAAATTTTTTTTTGTTTTTTTTTTCCTTTTTATTGGTACCGGGGATCAAACTCATGACCGCCTGCTTGCAAGGCAGGTGCTTATGCCGCTGAGCTAAATCCCTAGCCCCATATTCAACAATTCTTGATGTCTCTTATTTATAACTCTTACTGGCTGCCCAGTTATTTTGCTCCTAGCACTACCCATGTTCAGTTAGCCATGTCTACTTTGAGCTTGCCACGCCTTGCTTAGTTAAGTGTTGCCCGCTGGCATTTGCTAAGATCTCATTGCTTCTATGAAAACCAGTTCTTAAAATCGTCCATTAGACTCAATCTATTTTTTTTTTAATTGGTGCCGGGGATAGAACTCATGACTGTGCACTTGCAAGGCAGGTACTTATGCCACTGAGCTAAATCCCCAGCCCCCAGACTCAGTCTGGAGGGCAACTTCTACAGTACTCAAGATTGCTGGTACCCCTTCATCGGTGCCTTTCCTATTGCCTTTATTGAAAACAAAAACAAAGAACACCTTCAGACCCTTCTGAGTAATATGGTCAGAAGGTGGCCTTTTTTGTATGGTCTTGCCATCTCTACTTCATTTAATGTGGGTCATTGTTTTTCCCAAGTTTCCTAAAGCCATCTAAGTAGCATATTATAAAGGCCTCATAGAGCCATAAGAGCATATTCCAAGGTCATAGGAAAATGTCTCCATTATCTAAATTTCATATGAATTCATGAAGCCATTCATATAGCCAAAAACTTATTATTCCTATAAAGCTGAAGAGCAGCATAAAAATTTCATTAAATCAAAGCCTTTCATTTAAAAAAATTTGTTTTGATGCCAGGAATTGAACCCAGGGTCTTTACATGGGGCTAAACCCTAGTCCATTTGTCACTAAATTGCCCAGGTTGGGCTTGAATTTATGATCTTCCTGCCTCAGCTTCCCAGAGTACTAGTATTTCAGGTGTGCATTATCATGCCCAACTTGTAATAGTTTTGTGGGTTTTTCTGTCTTTTTGAGGCAGGGTCTCTCTATGCAGTTTGGCCTTGAGCTCACTTTGTAGTGTAGGCTGGTCTCAAACTCACAATGATCCTGTGGCCTCAGCTCCCGACTGCTGGGATTACAGGTATGAGCTACCACGCCTGGCAATAGTTATTTTTTAAACTTCAGAAAAGACAGGCTAGAAAAGTACTAGAAGTTGGGTTGGCAGTACATGTTTGTAATCCTACATTTAGAAGGCTGAACCAGGATTGCTAGCCTGGACTACACAGTGAGTTCAAGGCCAGCCTGAACTACATAGTAAGATCAAAACAATAATAAAAAGTTGTTAGAAATATTCTTGGTGACATATTCTTGCTGCAGAACAAACTCACTAAGACTGGCCCTTACATGAGAGAACCACAAGTATACAAATGTGTCAGTTTGCCTAGGATCTATGGAGAGAGTAACCAGGGCCCCAAAGCAGTATCAGTCAGGTGGTTTGCAGACTTGTGCTCATCCTTGAACATTTCGTTGTTTGTTTTACCAATTTATGATATGAGGAATTAAAGAATTCAAAGTGTTCAGAAACCATCACTGTGATATCCAAATATGAGACCATGGCCTCAACCTGCTAAACAGGATCTGGACAGTGTGGGTATTGTCACACTTTCATGTAAGGTGCAGATTGCTCATGAGCAGTAAGAACATGTACTGATACATAAAGGACTAGGTCTTTAAATAAAAAACACAGAGTTTAAGCAGGCCTACCCTAGGATACCAAGCTCTATCCCTCTAAAGTCTTAAAATTCAAGAATTAGTTTTTTGCTTGTTTTTATGGTATTGAGGAATGAATCCCCAGGGCCTTTGCATTAAAACAAACAGCATGTTGGGGATAGAGAATTAACAGAGATCAATTTACTCATGTTCAAAGTAAAAATAAAAATGAGTGTCTTGGAAACAAAGATAAGTAGGGCATCTTTGAGATGCCTGGTCAGGCCACCAGACATAAGAACAACAAAACAGGCACAAGGTCCTTTTGTTCTTCCCCCCTCCTATTCTTGTCACTTTTTGGCTGGAAGTTTTAGGAAGAGAATTTTGGCTTTCAGGCACCATAAACATCATCACAAGTTTGCTTGTGCTTTTCCAACTCACAGAGTAGACGAGTCTCACATTCAGTCTTAGGCTCTTCCACACTCTGCTAAGTTACAATAGCTGAACTTTCCCCAACAGCCTGTGGACTCAAGAACATTTCCTTCCTTTCCAATGCTATGGAGCATGAGATCTTTAAGGGGTAAAAAGTTCTAACCCAGAGTAAAGTGACATGTCAGGAGCTCACAGTGACTCAGATGATGAATGTCAATTTGTTCTGGCAAGAGTTATTTTCCGAGTAAATCAGACAGCCAGCTGGGCTGACTAGAGTATCCACCACATGACAGCCAAGGTCCATAGATAAACTCAGAAAGGGAAGGTCAGCTCAAAGATAACTTAGAAAACATGTTAAAAAGTATGTTATTAATAATAATGTAAGAAGTTAAAACACAATGTCAGTTAAAGGGCTTTACAGATTAAACTACCCAGGAAAAAATGAGGAAAGATAGCCACCCAGTCTCCTTTGTCAAATGAAGTGTACACTGAGCTGAAGAATAAAGGTGGTGGAGGAGCTCAGCAATGTTAGAACAAATCTTACAGAAGCTGAAGAAGATTAGGAAAAGACCTAGATGAGAAACTGGCCAATACTCCTCACTCCTATTTATTAGACACTGCCCCATAGGGTCTGCAGGAAAAGGGACCCTTGGCTGTTCTCCTCCCTTTTTCCCAAGCACCCTCCTGAACCAGGGATTCTAAGGGAATCAGACGTCTCAGGCCAAGACTCATTAGGAGCCGAATAGCTATTCATTTGCCAGATCTGACACCTCAATTATGTTTGCCAGGGAGGCAGGGAGCTGTGAGTGGTGGATGGACTAGATGAGGGAAAACAGAATGGTCCCTTCTTTGTCACTGCTTGGACTCAGAAGAGTCAGAATAAATAAAAAGGAGAAGAGATAAGAGGACAGACAGGGGGCAAAGGAAGGTCAGGGGCTTGGTTCCCACAGATCATGACATCATAGAAAGAACCAGGCTAGCCACTTGAGTTCTCAAGTTGGAACAAGGAGTTGAGAGAGGGCTTAGCACCTAGAGGGAAGAAAACCCCCAGGGTTTCTATTCCAACTCTACTGTGATTAGATGCAAAAGCTCTTTCCTTTCAGAGAATTCTGATGGTCTGTGTGAAGGCAAGAGGGCATGGTGTCAGACACACAGCCCAGCCCAGGCTAAGTTTCTTTCCATTCCCAAATGCCTGCCAAAGGAAAGTACAAATAAGAGTCCCAGGACTCTGTCCCTCTTCCCCAAATCCAAGAATGGGAATAGAAACAAGGCACAAAGACCCTGGAATTTAAAAGTACATCAGTGTGGCTATATATAACATTATTTTGGGAAAGGGAAAAAGGTACATGCCCCAAAGGGGATGCCTTCTTTCACCTGGCAGGAAGCTGGGCTTTTGCGAGTAGCAGAAACCACAAGGAAGAGGGTTCATACAAATGGCCTGCAGAACAGATCCTATTCCTAGAAAGACATAGGAAAAGCCTCAGCTGGTATGGCACGGTCTTGAATGGGACGACAGAGGACAGTAGGCAGACCACTCCTGCAGGCGATTTTCCTGCCTCAGTTCCCAATGGTTCTGCAGACTCCAGATGTTTCCCATGGCTGGGACTCAGGGAGGAAAACGTGTTGTGTGATTCACATGATCAGACACTGTTCACCACTGGCACCCGGTGGGCCCGACAGATTGAGGGCATCCAGGTCAAAGTTGAGGCCAGGAGGCTGGAGGAGAGATGAAGGGACTCAGATAACAGCATTAATCATTACCTTATGTGGAATCACTGGAGATTATAGAATTTTGGAAACTAGGGGCTCAGATTAAAATCTAGGAGCAAAAAAAAAAAAAAAAAAAAAAAAATCTAGGAGCATACTCACCATCTCCCCAGCCAGTTCTTTTGGAGGATGACCCAAATCCTGTAGCTGGAAAAAAAAAGAACATAAGGTAGAAAAATAAACACACAAATCTCAGAAAACAGCAAGGGGGCCAGGAAAAAAAGTCTGATTAGTGATCTCTGAATGCTTCTGACCATGTAACACAGCATCTCTTGTGTTCTCCCCTTCATCCAAATGGTTTAACAGTATAGCATCCTTCCTAGATAACCTCCTCCACTTAACACTCAAGTGGATAGTCAATGGGCAGATAGCAAAAGGAAGCCTCACCTGCTGCATAAGATCTAGCACCATCTCAAAACGAGCCTTTTGAGCAGCCTCACTATCTGTGGGTGTCTCTGCTTCAAACTGTTCACATATTTTCCCCATGACGTTGTGCTGCTCCTGATATTTCTCAAATTGCTCTGGAGGTAGAGACTCTCGGTGACTTTGTAACCATTCTGGATACTAAAGGAAGAGAAAATAGGTTAGTAAGAATTAAGTGAACAGTGGCACTGAAGGAAATAGGAACAAATCTTAAAAAGTGACAGGAAGGGGGACATGGGAGAATGAAAAGCTAAATAATCAAGTCCATCACTAAAAGTAAATCATCTGCCTCTATTTTCATTGATGGTTACTACATACTGGCAGACTATTTTTGTAAAGCACCAGGTTAATAAGTATTTTAGACTTCTTTTTATTCCAGTGTGTTGAGACCCTTTATTTTGTTTAACTTTAGGCTTTGAGGGCTATTTGTGGCCTTTGTTACATATTCTTCTGTGTTATCATTGGTTTAATAAGCCTTTAAAAATGTACACACCAGCCAGCCATAGTGGTAAATGCCTGTTATCCCAGTGTTCTAGGCGGTGGAGGCTGGAAGGCTGCAAAGTTGTATCTTGCCTGGGCAACTCAGTGATTTAGTGAGACTCAGTCTCAAAATAAAAGGAACCAGTCAGACTCACATGGGTAAACATCATGTTGTCTCCCTAGTATAAAAATCTGAAGGAGTTAGTGGGATCCAAAATGTATAATAGATATTGTGAAAGTGAAAGGGGAGGAAATGTCAAAAAAGGGAAGGTGATAGCTATTGTTAATTTCCTATTATTTTGTTTTGAAGTCCTGTATTGTTTTGTTTTGTTTTCATTTCATTATGTCTGATGGTATAGGCAACTATTTTGAAGATAACGAAAGGTATTATGTAGCCATTGTTGATTTCCAAATATCTTATTTTGAAATCCTATATTGCTTTCTTTTGATTTTACTATGTCTGATGGTAAGAGCAGCTATTATGAAGATAAAAAAAAGTATTACCATTGTTGATTTCCTATTACCTTATTTTGAAATCCTGTATTACTTTCATTGCTTTGTTTTGACTGGCTTTATTCTGGATTTTTCTTTTCTGGTACCAGGGATTGAACTCATGACCTTGTGCTTGCCAGGTAAGTGCTTATACCGCTGAGCTAAATCCCTGGCCCCTTATTGTTTTATAGTTTGGTTTTATTCTCTTTACAAATATAAATATGAATATAAATATAAATAAATACATATATACATACATAAATAAACAGATGGAAGCAGGATATAGTTTAGTACAAAGGTCCTTGGTCTGATCCTTAGTACTAGGGGAAAAAGGTAAAAGCTTTTTTTTTTTTTTTTTTTTGTCCTTTTGAAACAGGGTTTCGCTGTGCAGTTCAGGCTGGCCTTGAGCTTACTTTTGTAGCCTAGGCTGGTCTCGAACTTGCAGTGATCCTCCTGCCTCAGCCTCCCAAGTGCTGGGATTACAGGAGTGAGCCACCTTGCCCGGCTTTTGGTAAAAGCTATTCTTAGCTTGAGAGTTGAACCGAAGCTATACAAATCTTGGTCTGATGACTTCTGGTCTACTCCATTCATTATTAACCAATGTTGCTTGTATCATTAAGATTCTTCTATTCCTCTGTTTTACCTCTCCAGTAAAACTTTAAATTCTTTGATAGTACAGACTATCATTTAAACTACTCTTACACTGTACATAACATAATGCCCCAATACATCCTCAGTGAATTCTTATTGGAGAAATCAATGAAACCAGAAATACAAAAGTTTGACCAGACAATACAAATCTTGAACCAGTTTACAGAAAAGTAGTGATAAAGGATTTCCTCTTCTACCTCAGCATTCTTGGGGTAGTAGCTTTACTTTTTCAGAAACGCAAACCCCCTTCAGTCCCAATCTTTTTACACACCCAAGTATTACTCTCTACAAGTTCTGAGTAAAGTAGCCCACACAATTATGAGAGACATAACGAGAAACAGAAATGGAAATCCACAAACCTTTTCTGTGATCTCTTTCAGTGATGGGTACAGTACATCCTTGGACAGTAGGTTCTGCATGATACTCTGCATGATGGGAAAAATGTTCCCTTCTCCATCTCCTTCATCCACGCCCAGACCTTCCATGGCCTTGTTCAGTTCCTCATCTGACATGCCTGAGTTCTACACAGGACAGGGGAAAGGTAAACAGGTGCACTACCATCTTGGGAAACTTACAACACTTTCAGGTATAAAAGAAGTATCTAAACATGCCTATAACAAAATGATGAGGCAGGGACTAAGGAAGATATCCAAGAGCACCTGTCTTTTGAGACTGCTTGTGAAGTGTCCAAGAGTGGGCTACTTATGTTTTCTGATCCCTTCTCCCTTACCTGAAGATCCGTGGCATTTTTGGCTAGTCCACTTAATGTCTCTTTTAAGCAAGTAGTGAATTCTTGCTGGGAGGTTGCATCACTGCCTAGAGGAGATGAAAACTAGGATCACTTAGTACTTTAACAGTCTGCTTACACAGCCATCAGCTGGGAAATGAAACAACTAGTAAATCACTATCACTTCAAATCTTTGATTATTCTATTGTGACTTTCATAATGATTTCATAAATCCACATGGACTGTATGTTGATTTATTCTTAACAATTACACCCACAATAACTTTGTCCTTTAAAATGGTTTTAGACAATTTTTCCATTACTTCCAAACTTAACTCTTTTCATTTAACAAGGTTCCCATAGTTTCTTCTCTCTTTGCTTCCCCTCACCCCATGTCTGTGACATCATAATTGCTTTACTGAGAATCCTGGTGTCTGATATTTTCCTTTGACTGGAGTGTCCTCACCCACTCTACCAGCAGCCTCTGAGAGCTTCTGGAACTGCTCCACCAGGTGGGGCTCTTCTTCAGCCAACTCCTTCATTGCCTTCTCAAACTCTGCAGTAGCTTGGGAAGCCAGCTCACTGTCGAATAGTTCCTGGAAAAACTTCTCTTGGGAGGCGAACAAGGCATCCTGCACAGCAGTCATGGGCAAAATGCAACATTTATGGCACCATACCGTTCCTGGCTTCTGACAGAAGCCTCCTCAGTTATAAGTTCTGAGATACGTAGCACATCCCTCCTATCCATCTCTATTGGCTCAATCCATTTACCTCTCCCCAACTGGATGGCAACAAAGACATTTGCCCATTGAGGCAAGGGTATGAGCTGGCATTATCAATCCAACCCTTTAAACCTGCTCTTTTTTCTAGGATCTTCTTTGAGATCCCTCTACTCAACCTCAAGTCTTTAAAAAATAAGGACTGAGACCTGTAAGAACACTCAACAATATGAGGCCAAGGCACCCTGCCAACCTCCCTTCTGGCCCATAGGGTCCTTGCACCACCTCTACTCAGAACTATATGCCCATCCCCTCCCTCTCCCTTAAGAGGTGGTATTTATACTTTGGCAGTGTCTCCTGGAGATCTCTTCTGGGGCCCTGAAGCATCGGAGGCCGTGATGGTAGGAGGGGGTGCTGGAGAGGGTTTGGCTTTATCGAAATCATCAAGGGCACCTTCAGAGACAAGAGACATGGTGTGTGTGTTGGGAACAGATGAGGATGCAAAGCTGGGTAGTTTCTAGGCAAAACATCAGAACGGCCTTTCAAAGTTTTGAAGTCTCTCCCTCCCTAACTCAGTGATCCATAAGCCTCCCACCTCCCTTAAGATTACCTAAATTTTATGATCAAAAAGAAATCCCTCTTAAGGTGAAACAAGTCTCCATACAGGAGTTGGAAGGAGAGGACTGAAAAAGATACTGGAGAGAGATTGCCATCTATCTACACACTACAATAATTCTCCAGAAAACTCATACAAGTATCTAACAGGACCAGAGATCTTATCTCCCTGAACTCCTGATAGACTCTTAAAGGGATTAATCTTTGGCCACCAAAAAGCACAAGATGTCTCATCCAGCTTTCCATTAATTCTGGAACTAGCACAAACTAAAGGGCTCCATACTACACTCCATGGCAATAATATTACACCCTCTTGTACTGTCCTACAAAGTAATTCTCCTTTATCAAAGTCTTAGAGCTCTCTAAGGCCTCATTTCTGCAGATAACCCTGTGCCAATTCAGTCACTTGGCACTCCTCACTGTTTCTGCTCACTTTCCTACTGGCCCTCAAGCATGTGATTGAGCAAGAGATTAAAATTAAAAAAAAAAATTGACCTCTATCCTGAAAAGCCTGTGTTGTCACAAACATTCTGCTTGTCAGGCCTACTCAAAGGGCACTGGTCCCACTCTGGGCAGGAAACCAACCGAAGAGTGGACGACCAAGGCTAAGAAATAAAAGAACATCCACTGGCTTTCAGGAGGTAATCTGAATTCCCCTGAAATCTCTTCATCCTCAGTTTCTCAAAACAATGGAAAAGGAGTCTACTTTTGCTATTGACATGACAAAACAACTACAAGGGTCTCATAAAAGACAAAAGACTGAGGGAAGTGTCTTTTGCGCTAAGAAAGACAGGAGGAGGCATTAAACGATCCCTCAGGGCGTAGGAGTTCATATAAGCAATCCATGAACATTCGCTTCGCTGCCCCACCGAGAACCAAATACTGATACTAGCCTTGTGGGGAATTAGACTTCGAGAATTTACTAATTTAAAGCAAGAGGAGTTTGGAAGGGAATCATGAAACACCGTCATACGGTTACCATTCCTCCCCTCCCGCGGAAAGATTAACTGTCAGAACGGCTGAGGAGTCTAAGGTGAGTTCCCTAGCTTCTGCCGCGGAGGAGGGACAGGGTGACCAAAAGATTTTCTATGGAGTCACAGACAGACCTTCGCCCCTGCCAACCATTGAAGAGACACTCCCGCTCAGCCTCAATATCCTCAGGTTCACTTAAGCCCCGGAATGGGTCCTCATATCCGCCCACTTCGGGTTTTTCCCGTCACGGACTCTTACTTTCCAAAAGCTCCTCCAATTCCCGGTCCGCTTCGGCCGCGACACTAGAGTCTCCCTCAGAGGTAGCCATTTTACTGCCTCCGACTTGCCGTAGCAGGCGGGACTCCTGGCGCAGCCGAGTGCCCCGCCCCCTAGCCCCACTCCCCCTGCTCCGGGCAGCCAATGGAATCCTTGGCTCGTGGGGCGCCGCCATTTTTAAAGGGACAGTAAGCTTTGAGGCGTTGGGGTTTTTTGTTTTTGTTTTTCCTTTTGCAAGGAACCATTAAAATGCGCAATTTACTTTTCTCGTCTGCCCGATTTATTATTGGCCTGGAATCTTCGCTCAGCTTCTCACATTATCTGGAGCAGCTCTTCCATTACGTATTCCTGAGCTCTCGATAAACCAGATTAGGACAAACTGCTTAAAAAGAACCAGAATCTATGCATTTATAACCGAGAAGGTAATTATGGTGCATGTCATTATTTCCCTTCTTACGTCAATATTTTACTCAGATGTCATCTTCTCTGAAATGTTTACTTTGGTCTCATTAAATAAAATTAAAATCCCTGCCTCTCCCCCTCCCCGACTCTTCCTCTTCTTAACACGGAACACTGGCCTACTGTGTACCTATCTTGTTCATTATACGCCTCCCCCAACCTCCGCAGAATTTAAGGACCATAAAGGTAAGGATTTCCGCTGTTATCTTCATTGCTGTATTCCCATCTTCTAGGCTAGAGCTTAAAATTTATCAGACACTTACGCTCTCAGACCCCAGTCAGGTACAATTCTTTGCCTAATCTAAGTTGGGTATCTCTCTCGTGCTATTCTCCTTCCTAATTGTCAGGCTAAAGGCTCAAGGCCAGGATCTTAGAATTCAATTCAATATTAGACAGAAAAGGTGGACCCTAAGACCTTTTAAGACTGAGCAAAGGAAAATTTGAATATAGTAGGAGCCGACCTGCCTTTCCTGATTTATCTTTTCACACACAACCCAGCCAGCATTGGAGTGCAGATGGGGAAGGCTCAGGCAGTGACATCTCCGGACATTTTCCTCTTTTGGAAGGAAAATGTGTTAGACTGTAGCAACTAAAATAGGCTCAAATCTGTTTTAGCTCTGAGAGAGCATGTTCTGTTAAGATTTTGTGCTGTGCACAGTGGATTAGACCAGACCCTGTTGTAACTAGCTGATTTGGGATCATCTAGAGGTGTGATTAGAATCACACACAAAAAGTAGATGGTAAAAGACCTAAAAGAGGCAAGAATAAAATGCTCTCATTTAACATGAGAGAAATCTCATGAATTTTTTCTTAATTTCATTGGTATTATTTACTATTTTAATTTTTTAGACAGGGTCTTGATACATAGTTGAGTCTGGCCTTGAACTCGCTGTGTAGCCCAAGCTGGCCTCAAACTTGCAGCGATCTTCCTGCCTCAGCCTCCCAAGTGCTGGCATTATAGGCCTGCACTACTGTGCTCAGCTTGGTACATTTTTGATATACATAATTATCACATTTATCATAGGGAATTTGTATCTGTACATAATATATTTTGATTCCTTTTTCCCCATTCCCCTGCCATCCCTTTCAACCCTTCTACCTGTATTTGCAAAAGCTGTTTTTTCTTTACATTTTTTTGCCTTTTTCCTTCCTTCCCCTCCTCTTCTCATTTTCTTCATACTTCCCAATTTCTGTCATTCATTCTGATCCTTATTTATCCTTTCATTTTCTCACAAGAGAAATACTGTGACATCTAAATGTGTGTGATTTATTTTGCTTGAAAGTATGGTCTCAGAAAAAAAAAAAAGAAAGTATGGTCTCAGGGTGCATCTATTTACCTAGAAATGTCTCAAGTTTATCCTTCTTTATGACAGTGTAGTACTCCATTGTGTGTAAAATTCACATCTTTTTTATCCATTAATCCATTGATGGGCATTTGGGGTGTTTCCAAGATTTAGCTATTACAAATTGTGCTGCTGTAAACAGGGTGTATATATAGAATGATTCCATCTAAATGGAAAAAAATTTTTCGTTTAGGCTGGCCTTGAGCTCACTGTGTAGCCCAGGATGGTCTTAAACTCATGGTGATTCTCCTGCCTCAGCCTCCTGCTTCATCACTTTTACCCTTAGCCTCCTAAACACACATTCGGTACTGCATCAAAGTGTCAAATTTGGGCACAGACTTGTAAAACCATACCTGTAAAAAACATGTTGTTTTCTCATAAACACAAGTGCCATATTATTTTTAGAAAGTGTTCTGAACTAGGAGTTATAAAACCAGATTTCCAAACCCAACACAGTGGTGCATGCCTGTAATTCCAGAAATCCTAGCACTTGGGAGGCAGAGTCAGGGGAATCACTGTGAGTTTGAGGCCAGCCAAGGGTACATCGTTCAAGGCCAACCTCAACTTCATAGAGAGAACCAGTCTCAAAAAACAAAACACCCTCCAAATAAATCCTTTTCAACATAAACTTCTTTTTTTTTTTGTCTTTTTCATTTTTATCAGTACTGGGGATCGAATTCATGACTGCCTGCTTGCAAGGCAGGCGCTTATGCCGCTGAGCTAAATCCCCAGCCCCTCAACATAAACTTCTATAATTGAGTCATTTCTTGGATAGCCTCTCCTTCTGCCACATTTCCAATAATTTATTCAAAACTAACTTTTTGTTCAGCCTCAAAAAACATGTCTAATAGAACTGTTGAAAAATATAAAACTTGGGGCTGGGGATTTAGCTCAGCGGCATAAGCGCTTGCTTTGGAAGCAGGCAGTCATGAGTTCGATCCTTGGTACCTATAAAAAAATGAAAAAGACCAAAAAAAATATATATATATATATAAAACTTAACCTATCTGCTTTGTACTGATATGGTAATAGAAGCATGTTAATAAGGAAAATACTACAAAATAATTTAAATGGACTAAAAAAAGTGATTCTTTCTTAGCTATTTATTTGTTTTTGAGACAGGGTCTCAAAGACTGGCCTTGACTCATTATCTCATTATGCAACTCAGGCTAGCTTGAACTTGTATTTCTTCTGCCTCAGCCTCTGGCTTCTTTGCATTAAACTTGATGCTGCTTTTCAATTTTTACTAATGACTTTTTTTGACGAGACCGGGCGCGTTCAGGATGGTATGGCCGTAGACTAATGACTTTTTTTTGGAAGCAGTCTCACTTTGTAGTTGAGGCTGGCCTCAAACTCATGAAAATCCTCCTGACTCAGCCTCCTGAGGGGAAGGACTACACATATGCACCACACGTGGCTGATACTCTTAATATTTCAGTATCTATTCATGTCTTAACTGTTGTCTTTAAAGACTACTGAAAAAATATTTTAACAGCATTTTTTCATATTACTCTCTTAAGGAATTAATGGCTCTCTCCTTTTTTTTTAAGATAGGATCTTGTCACATAGTTAAGGCTGGCATTTGAACAAATGGTGGCACAGGGTAGGCATGAACTCACAGTGACCTTCCTGTCTCAGCCTCCTGAATGCAGGGATTACAGGTATGTACCACCATGCCCAACTCCACTATTTACTGACCAATGTCAGATTCTTGTTTTACATTCACCATGTTTCACATATAGTCATTGTTTCCCCCATTGTCAACTTTTTTTCACATCCGTTTATGCTTCTATGCAAATTTTGTGATTTAATTTGTAAATTTGTCTTTTATATTTGACAAAATTTATCACCAACTTATGTTTACACAATGTTTATAATTTGAGAAAATGCTATCAAAGTAGTATACAAAATGTTGAGAAGGCCGACTTAGAAGATTGAGGATGATGTTTAAGAGACAACAGGAAATGGAGATAGCCCTTTGCAGATAGGAAGGACATCTAAGGATAGAAGGAGAAAGGGCAGACAGGAAGGGAAAATAAAAAGGATCAAGATGCAATGTGTATGTACCAATTCCCCATGATGAATGTAATCATAATATAACACAACCATGTATTTTTAAAAATCAATTATGTGTGTGTCTTTTTGAAAGTCTCACTATGCAGTTCAGGATGACCTTGAGCTCACTTTGTAACCCAGGCTGGTCTAGAACTTGCAGTGATCCTCCTGCCTCAGCCTCCCGAGTGCCGGGATTACAGGCCTGAGCCACCCACACCCAGTTTCAATTATTTTTTTAAATTAGATTTTATTGGTACATTTTAGATACACATAATGATCAGTTCATCCTAGAGAATTTGTGCCTATACATAACTTCTCCCTTATTCCCCTTCCCTCCCTTCAACCCTGCCTTCCTTCCCTACTTACGGTTTTGTTTCCATGTTTTCCTTTTCTCATTTTTTTCTTTCCCCTTCTTTCCTTTCCCTCCTCCTCTCTTCCTTGTTCCTCCTTCATTTGACCATCTTCTTTCTATTTCACAATGGCTGTTATACATTATATACTTTACACCTTCAGTTTCTCACACAAGAGAAACAATGTGGTATTCACACATGTGACTGATTTATTTCACTTGAGGATGGATTCAAGGTGCAACCCCTTTTCCTAGAAATGTCTGGAGCATATCTTTTATGGCAGAGTAGTATTCCATTGTATAAAAACAAACAAACCACATCTTCATCCATTCACCAGTTGATGGGCACTTGGGTTGTTTCCAAGATTTGGCTATTACAAACTGTGCCTCTAAATCATAGGTATGCATATGTCACCACGGTATGATGCTTTTAGTTCTTTCAGGAAGATACTCAGGAGGGGAATGGCTGAGTCAAATGGGATCTATTGTCCTAGTTGTTTTGAGAAATCTCTACATTGATTTCCACAGTGGTTGCATCAGAAAAAAATAAATTCTTTTTTTTTTTTGTCTTTTTCATTTTTATCGGTACCAGGGATCGAACTTACGACTGCCTGCTTGCAAGGCAGGCGCTTATGCCGCTGAGCTAAATCCCCAGCCCCAGAAAAAAATAAATTCTTAATGTTAAAATATGAAGGCTTGTGCTCTTAGAAGCAGGTAGTTTATTCTTCCACCCATACAATATATGTTCAAGTTATTCATTGCAAAAATGTTGATAATTGTAAAAGGTTAAAAGTAACTCAAATATTTATCAAGAAGCAACTTCATAACTTATTTTACAATAGATACTACACAGAGAACTGCAAACTTAAACTCTCTAATATATAGAGAAAATTTTCTATAAAAAATGAAAAATGATATAAAATGCAAAATGTTAAATAAGCATGCTTTCAATTGTGTATGTAAGGGAGCTGAGAAGGAACATTTCCTTATCTGCCTATCTATATATAAAAAGTTTCAGGGAAGCCAGTAACAGTGGTTGCTTCCCTGAGGAAAGCAGTAAGAACTGAGTGACTCGGCAAAGAGGTGGAAGGACAGTGTTATGGTTTGTGTCTGGATGTCCCCTGAAAGCTTCATGTGGTCAGGCTTTTTGGAGGTGGTTGAATTTAGAGTTTGTGATTGGTTCATGGCTCAATTCTAGGACTAAGGGTGTGTGTGCTACACCTGCCTAGGGGTAGTAGCCAGCAAACCATATAAGGACAGAGTTTGTCTCTTCTCTCATTGTTTTGCTGCCTTCTGCCTACCATGAATGTTACTCCTGTGAGCCTGTCTGCCTTGGAGCCAGCTGGTAATGGACTTGAACCCTCTATAAACTAACCTTAACTTGTGAGTATTGGGTATTTTGTCTCAGCTATGAAAAAATTAACTAAAAAAAGTAACTAAAATGGCTTATAAGAGGAATTTTAATATTTATTGATTCCTGAACTATATGAATATATTATTTAATAGAAACATGAATATAACATGTAGAAATTATATATGTTTTGATTTTTTTCTCTATCTTTTTGAGATAGGGTTTCACTATACTCTTTAGGCTGGCTTTAACTCATGTTGTAGCCTAGGCTGGCCTCAAACTTGCAGTGATGCTCTTGCCTCAGCTTCCCAAGTTCTGGGATTACAGATGTGCACCATCATGCAACAATGCACCACTGCTGGCCTAGTTCTGCACACCAATTAGTATATGGTACTTTTAAATCAAAGGCACAATACATCATTCTAGGCACAATACATCATTCTACCCAATTATTCTTTTTTTTTTGTCTTTTTCCTTTTTATTGGTACTGGGGATCGAACTCACGACAGCCTGCTTGCCAGGCAGGTGCTTATGCCGCTGAGCTAAATCCCCAGCCCCTCCAATTATTCTTAGCATGCAGGCAAAATACTACCTTGCTAATCATTGTGAAATATATAATGTACTATGTACTACTACGTACTAATATGTAATGTACTATATACTAATTAATCTCTATATAGTACAAGAAACAGGAGCAGCTATATGGTAGATTATAAATGAATACTGACTATAATTACTAGTAGATGGAAGGTGGCAGCCAAAAGCAGAATAGGAGAGGTACTGACTTGTTTCCTACCACTCTCACAACAGATTAGGTCTGGGCCAAATGTATACTTTGCATCTATCTTTTGAAAAACAGAATTTTTTCCCCAATAGTGGATATATGATAATTAAAGACCACTATTGAAGAAAGAGATCTGCTGTGATGGGGCAGCTACATGGAATGAACAAGAACATTAAAGTGTTTAGGAAATAAAAATCAAGCCAAGAAGCTCTTGTAGAATTTACTTTATTTAGTATGAGAAACAAAGTATGACAACAATGGTTGTAAAGGACAAATCAATGAAAAGTAGTATGCGTTTTGGAAAACTAAATGATTTCTTCTTACACCTTAAGTTTCTGGGCATGCAGAGGGTACTGCCTAGGAGTTTAAATGCCCAAGGAAAATGAGGGACAGTGAAGAGTTTGGTGTGGCTAAGACATGACATCTCATTTGTTATGTCCTGTTTCTTTCTAGCAGAAAGGAAACAATGGTGGTGGGGAGAGAAAGAATAAATACCAAAGGGATTTACTACACAAATGTCCATCACACGTTTTCATTTGTTCCTTGCAAGAGCTAACCAAGAAGAGCAAGGCTAATTATGACAATTGTCATCTTGAGAAGAGCACTGGTCTTCATAGGCAAATATGTCAAATCTAGACATTCTGATTTGCCACAGAAGTAGAAAAAAAGACACAAAGTTTTAGGGAGAACCAAATCACAATACACTGGGCAGAGGTTGGTGTCAGGAGATTACAGAGAGTAATTCGATGAGGGAACAGTCTATGATTGACCCACATACACAAAGGGTGTCTTAGCGAAACTGAAGAGGACTGATCCTTAGACCAATCACATCTTTGCCAATCTCTGTCACCTGTGAAAGAGGAAAACCAAGGACTAAATTAGATTTGTGGAATCCTACAGTTTGTTCGTATGCCTCTCACTAAACATTTGTTACTAAGACAATGGAGCAAGAGAGAGAAGCTCTAGTTTTTTTCGATATCACTGCCCCAAGGGAAAGGGCCACGTGGTTCTCTTTCTCCTTCCTTTAGTGTAGATACATTCTTTTTTAAATTTTATTTTAGTACTAGGGCTTAAACTCAGGAATTCATGCTAAGAAGTCAGCATGCCACCACTGAGCTATAACTTCAGCCCTTTTGACTTTATTTATTTATTGAGACAATGTCTTGCTAAATTACTTACACTTGTTTTGAATTTGCAACTGTCTTGCCTTAGCCTCTTAAGTAGCTGGGATTACAGGCTTGCACCTAGCTGTAGATATTCTCTTTTTTTTTTTTTTGAGAGAGAGGGTCTCACTATGTAGTTTAGGCTGGCCTTGACTTACTGTGTAGCCCAGGCTGGCCTCAAACTCATGGTGATCCTCCTATTTCAGGTTCTGCTGGGATTACAGGCATGTGCCACGCCTGGCTATGCAGATGCATTCTTGAGGACAATACTTACTGTAGTGACCCTGCAGATCTGACCCTTGAACTCGGGGGAATAGCAGGCTCCACTGAGTGGACACTTCTCCACTGGCTTTCCACGGTAGATGGGCCGGTAAGATGCAGCACAAATGTCAAAAGGATTGTGCATGTCATAATTCAGCTGACAGGCATCGGTGGGGTTCTTCTCACAGGCAGACAGGATTTTTCGGGTCTAAGAAAGGGAAGGAGACTTTATTTTAGAGGATAGGAAAGCAGCACAGAACAATTCAGATGATATTACCATGGTGTAGAAGTTTGATGTAAGGTGCAAATACAGCACATGTTAAGAGTTAACAACTGCTACTCTTGTACCAAGGTTTCTTCTCTATACCGAAGTGGCCTCACACATCTGTACCTAAAATTTTTCACATTGTGGGGATTATCAGGGAAAGGCCCTAAAAAAGATGAAAATAGGTTTCCATTGCTCAATGGGAATGCTTTGGAAGGATACAAACAATGGACCGTGTATGTGAATTAGTAGCAGTCAAGATAGGCTATCTGGAGTTTACAATTAGGGTTATTCTTGTCAGCTTTTCCTCAGACAAACAATATCTAGAATAAATAAAGAACTCAAAAACTCCCCTGAATTTAAAGACTTGATCAAAAGATGGGCATCTAAGCCATGCATGCTTATAATCCCAGTCTTCATGAGGCTGAGGCAGGAGGATTGTTGCAAGTTCGAGATCAGCCTGGGCTAAAAAGTGAACTCAAAGTCAGCCTGAACTGCACAGTGAGGCCCTGTCTCAAAAAGACGGGAAAAAAAAAAAAGAGAGAGAGAGAGAGCCATCTGAAATGAATAGCACTTCTCAGATGAAGTACAAACATGAAATACATGAAAAAAATGTTCAACATCTTGAATCATTAACTGAGAGGTGCAAATTAAAACAATGCTGAGACTCCATGTCACTCTAGAAAGAATGGCTATCATCAATAATCAATCAATAACAAATGCTGGTGAAAAAGGGAACCTTCTCCACTGCTGGAAATGCACACTGGTGAAACCATTGTGGAAATCAGTGTGGAGATTCCTCAAAACACTAAAACTAGATGTTTCATTTGACTCAGCTATTCCCCCTTCTTGGTATTATCCTGAAAGAATTAAAAGCATCATACCACAGCAATCTATGCATATCCATGTTTACAGTGGCACAATTTATAATAGCTAAATCTTGGAAAGAGTCCAAATGCCCATGACAGATGCCACTTACTGCTGAATGGATAAAAAAGATGTGGTTTTTTGCTACAATGGAGTACTACTCAGTCATCAGAAGGATAAGTTTGAGACATTTCTTGCTAAATGGATCCACCTTGAGACCGTACTCTTAAGTGAAATAAATTGGACACACATGTTTAAATATTGCATTGTTTCTCTGGTGTGAGAAACTGAAAGTGTAAGGACCAAAATGTATAATTGGGAAATGGAAAGAAAATGTTCAAATGAGAAGGGAAACTATGGAGGAAGGAGGGAAAGGAAGAAAGAGACAAGAAAAAGAAAAAACAAACAAACAAACAAATAAGAAAAACATGTAAACAAAGTTTTATAATTAAGGAGGAGAAAAGTGGTTGAAGGGAGGGAAGGGGAATGGGAAAAAAGCAGTAGCAAGATACACCATGTACAGGTATAAATCTCTTATGATGAACGCTATCATTATGTTTATCTAAAATATACCAATGAAAAATAAATATTTCCTTCAAAAAAGATTGGGCCAGGTGTGAGGTGCATGCCTATAATGCCAGCACTCAGGAGTCTAAGGCAGGAATATTGCTGTGAGTTTGAGGCCAGCCTGGGGTACATCATGAATTCAAGGCCAGCCTGTACTGTAGTAGATCCTACCTCAAAGAATGAAATAAAATAAAACATTGGGGTTATTTACAGTCACACGAATGCCATATGTAAATAATTACAACGGAGAGTGGCATTCTGTTGACTCCTTTTTCTAGAATGTTTTGTAGAATATATATACTTTTTTTCTTCTTTTCCTTTCAGAGGTTTGCCTTGCTCTTCCAAAAGCAGATCTAGTTCTTACTGAAGGAGCTTGCACTCACCTGTTGAGCCACCTCAGGCTTAGGTCCAAGTTCCAGCAAGCGCCGAGCAAAGGTGGCAGCAGTCTTGAAGTTCTTAAGCTTGAAGAAGAGATTGAGGGCTGTCCGCAGCACTAAGATCATGTGCACAGGCTGGAGGTTGGAGTGGGTGAAGTAGGCTGCCATCTGGTGGACAGAAAGAGAGAGATGCGTCAAGCTGGGGGATGTCATTTATGAACTGCGGCACCTTCTTAAAAAAACAAAGTAAGGGGGGCTGGGGATTTAGCTCAGCGGCATAAGCGCCTGCCTTGCAAGCAGGCAGTCATGAGTTTGATCCCTGGTACCAATAAAAAGGAAAAAGACAAAAACAAAAACAAAAACAAAAAAACAAAGCAAGGCAAACCAACAAGACCAGCTAGGTAAAACACAGAAGTCCTCTAGGTACTATGCCTGGACAACTGCTGAAATGTGAAGGATGGAGAAATAGCACCTCTACTTACAGAAATAGAACAAAATTCCTTTTCCTCCCCAGAGCCAGATCTGGGAATGGAACCAAAGAATTCAGATCTTATGGAGGGTGCAGTGGAAAATACCACTGCAATGCTCAGAGTTCGACAGATCTTACCTCACAGATGCGCTTTTGCTGGTCTAGAGTCTCTTTGGGCAGCTTCTTCCTTTCTATCTCCATGGACAAACCCACAATATACTCCCGGCAAATGGTGATGAGCTGCTGGGCCTGGAGAAGTTGCCAAGGAAGGTCATGGTACTGAGACAATAACTTGAGGCCATGGGGGGAGAACTAGCGTTGGGACAAATGGTTACACTCCTCGTACCTCAGCAATCTCCTGCTTATTGTCTACAACGAGAAGTGGCACACTGAGTAAGATGGAACGGAACTTTTCCACAGCCTCCTCAAACTTGCCAACTGTAGTGAGCTGGTAGCACAGCTGTAACCTCTGGATGAGGTCATTAAGCTTTAGGCCTATAGCTGGCACACCATTTTTCAGCCCTGCATCCTTCCTGGAAAGGCAAAAGTAAGAGGAAAACAGGATCATCAGTAGCCAAGTTGATTTCTTTTCCTGGCAAATGTGACCACAATTCACTGTGAAAGTAGCTGGAGAATAGGGTGGCAGCAAGTATAAATTTAACCCCATACAGTAGCAAAGCAAAGTTCTTCTCCAGTGAGGAAACCCCGTCTCTGGGACAATCTGTGTCACTGAGGCTAATGCCTGAAATAATCCACCCCAATCTGGAACGGGAGAGGCAAGGAACTCACCAATTGCGGCTGGGGTAGGCATACATGGAGGGCAGGCAGGGCAAAGCCTGATAGGTAGTACGGCCTCGGGCATATGTCTGTAGGAATAGTTGCTTGTAGGGGCCAAACTGGATTACTCCTACCTGGTCATGAAGCAGCTGGAAGAATGACAGGAAAGAAATACAATCATTTTGGCTCTACCACTAAGAACTAATATTACACAATGGGTCCATAATTCTCTGTACTAGTTTTCTCATCAGCAAAATACACTTAATTACTGTATCTACTTTATTTACTAATACCTATACTTACGATAGTAGTTAGCACACAATGAACATTGAATGTTAGTGATTGTTGTGAGTTTGAGGCCACTCTTGGCTACATAGTGGGTTCAGAGCCAGTGTGAACCACAAAAAACAAAACAAACAAAAACCCCACATAAACCAACCATCTCCCTGAGGCCCTGGGCTGCACACACTCAAGAGGAAGGGCCAAGGTTGAAGAAGAAGACTTACCCGCATGGCTGTTTCGAAAGAGCCTGCCAGGATGTGATCAACTGGAAGCTGAGAGTTATTGCACCAGATCTACCAAGAAACAGAAAAGTCAAACAAAATGAAAACTTTCCCTTTCTCTTCCCAAATGATCCTCTTCAATAACTATTAATAGAAAAGTATTCAATGGTTCACACATTTATCAAGAGTTAGTAGGATAAGACTCATCCTCACAGGGCTACGCTTCCATACATACTTGAGTTGGGCTTGTTCCCTTGGTTGGGGGCACAAAGAACCCATCTTCAGCCCCGCCAGCTGCCCCAGGAGGTACATCCTAGAGCAAAAATGAAAATTAAGTCTTTTTTTTTTTTGTACCAAGGATTGAACTCATAACCTCGCATTTGCCAAGCAGGCACTTATGCTGCTGAGCTAAACCCCAGACCTCAATTAAGTCATTTTTAAACTCTTTTAAGCACTTTGTTCTGAAGAATCTAAAACATAATTATTTACCTTATTTCCCATTTCAGCGGGAGAAAATATGCCCATAATAGGAGCCACTTCACCAGTATCAAAAGCTCCAACTCAGATTTTAAAAGTGTGTTGCCTTTCACAAAGCTGCTGCTGGCACAACCTTGACTAAACTCTTCTATCTTTCAAATGGGAGATGAGTATCACATTAGAACATGTCCTAGTTTCCCCCCTTTTTGCTGCTATAACAGGACAAACAGAAGCAATAAGGCCACTAATTCCGACCTTCTCATTTCTCCTTTCAAGTGGGAGATAAGCACTAGATTAGGTGGGTCTAGATCTTGACCCCTGCCCCCCTAATACCATAGAACAAGTGGTGATAAGGCCACTGGTTTCCACAAGGAGAAATGGAGGGAACTTTAAAGAGTAAGAATTCCATGTACCAGCTCAGGGGGGAGCTCCAGATCTTCTTCCACATCCCAGCCACCTCCTTCTTCTTGTCCCTTGCCAAGAACATCATCCCCCAAACCTTCTGTAGCCTCCACAAATCCATCTACAACGAAAACCCAGATTAAAATAGATTTGGGTGGTGGCACAATCTCAGCCAAAGCACAGCAAAATGTTGAGATCATAACTGGCTCCACTGTTCGGAAGCCTGCAAAACAGCTCACAACTAGTTCTGATCCAAGGAGTCTACCTTCCCGACAGCATTCTTACCTTCATCCAGCTGCAGTTCTGCATCCTCTCCCCAGCCCTCAGTGCCAACAGTGTCAATGTCAATGTCAGCAGCCAGTGCTCCTCCCTTTCCTTAGCAAGAGAAGAAACAGGTACGAGTCAGTTGTAGCCCACAAGACGGAGATACAGTCTTCTCTGCAGACAAGCTGGATCCTTTCAAAAATAGTTGTGCAATATCTGCCTACTTATTATTTTCACGTATTATGTATTTTTGTGTTATATATATTTTGCTAATCTGCAACATATTTCAGAGAGATGAAACAGAAGAGAGATAACTACCTTCACACTACCAAAACCTGGCTCTTAAACCACTTTTAAGTTACTAGTCTTTGGCTGCCAACTCTTGGAACTTCTTCCTGAGATCCTAAGTCTCCACTCTAAGTCACCACTGCAACAGTGCGTGCAGGACACAAGGACAAAGGATGATAGAGGAAATAAAAAGAAAAAGCCAAGTTGGACATAAAATGCAGTCTTGCCATTGAGAGCCAGTTAGGATCTCAATATTTTGCTGTGTTTTGGCTCAGACTGTGCCAGAGGCTTTCACTTAGAAGTGAACTAGCAGACTAATTGAGAAAACAGGAGAAGGGTAAAGATGGCAGTGGCAGGCTGTGATAGTACCCATTTGCACACTCGCGTGACAGAAATATAGGTGCTTCAATTTGTACTTGAAGACTATGTCATTAATGATAAAACACTGGAACATGACTACATATATAGTGAAACCTAGGGAAATACACCAAAACACTTACAGAGTTTATTAGTGCTAAAGGAATAATTCCCCATCCCTAATTCCCAAAATTTTCTTCTACAACTACAAAAAGCTTTTCTTTATACCGCAGATCTGACTGGCATTTCAATGCTCTATAATGCTTCACACAGAAAAATAGACAAATGAAACTAAGTGCTAATGGCACTCTCTGGGATGATTTCTACAAAATAAATGAAAAAAGTGCTACGTAAGAAATGGGCACTGACCTTTGCTGGCAATGGAGCCTTCAAAGAATCCTTTAGACACAGTTAGCAAGGGCCAGTTGGTGTCCAGTGGCATGATAGGTGCAGGTGGCTGGAGCAGCTTAGCATTAGGGTCAATGTCTGGGATCTAAGAGGTAGGAGAAGATAAAAGGTTTAAACACAAACAATTCTCAGGAATCCTATACAGAAGGGTATGGAGATTCTTTTAAGCTTATTTATTTCTCAGCCTCTCTCTGTAACCAGATGGGATAGTTTTAAATTATCCTAAGAGCTGAGTTAATCCTGCAATCAAAGACACACACAAAAAAATGAAGACTCACCGTCTCCTTCTCTGGGTCAAATGTTTCCTTCAGACTCTCAGCTTCTTCATCTAGGCCATGAGTAGCAGCTGTGAGATAGGCCAAGGACTCTGCAGAGAAACCAGATTTTATGATACAGATACATTTTCAGGGGAATAGTGTGGTGGCAGGCAGACTCCAAAATGAAATCCCTCCCCTACAGTGATCCCTGTCTCCTAGTATTCAAGTACTTGAATAATAACCTGCTGTTAAGTGTGGGTCTAGATCTCCTAACTTACTAACTACTTACTAATTACTGGCCTCCAAAAGGACAGACAACGCAGAGGTAACAGGATGTTACTGCTGGGGTTAGTTTATAATTGTGCCTTCCCTCTTCAGTGCTTTATTTCCAGCCCTATTTTTTATTTTGAAACAGGGTCTTGCTATGTTGCCCAGGTAGGACTTGAATTTGCAATCCTTCTGCCTTGGCTTCCTGAGTGCTTGCAAACCAGCTGCCATGCTGTGCACTGCCCTATGCAGAACTAACATGGCAAGAAAATGACATTTCCCAGATAACAGAGAACAAGGGCCTGAGTAATGCCCCCTGAGGTAACTGCATGTGAAAGTGGGTCCCAAGCTGACCCTGATATATCTGCAGTCCAGGTCAACACCCTCACTGCAGTCCTATGAGAGGCACTGAGCCAGAGCTAAACCTTGCTCTAAACTGTAAGTCATAAATGTTTGTTGTTTAAACTACAAATTGAGTATCCTTCATTGACATTCTTGGGATCAGAAGTGTTTCAGAGTGTTTTGGATTTTGGAATAGTCTTTAGACTTTACTGGTCAGGTACCCTAATCTGAAAATCTGAAATTCAAAATGTTCTAAAATCTTTTGAGTTTTGTATTGATATTCAAGAAGTTTTGCATCTTGGAGCTTTTCAGGTTTTGAGTTTTTAAATTAGGAATATTTAACCTGTACTAAGTTTCTGACTAATTTCTTAGACAGCAATTAATTGCTAGTGAATATAGTTACTTATCTTTAAGATCCATCATCAATGTAAATAACCAGCCTAGACTACAAAGTGAGTTCAAAGCCAGCCTGCACTGCACAGCAAGACCTCTCTCAAAAAGACAAAAAATTAAAAAAATAATAGTTTTATTTTATCCAAACAATTACATTTACTAGAGTGTCTCTAGTAAGTAGTTTCTATACATATATAGAGGAACATATTTTATTAATTTTTTTGTATATATTATTGAACTTAGGGGTACTCTACCACTGAGCTGCATCCCTTAGCCCTTTCTAAAATTTTTTATTTTGAGACAAGGTCTTGCCAAGTTGCCCAAACTGGCCTTAAACTTCTGATTCTCCTGTTTTAGCCTCCCAAGTAACCAGGCATGTGCTACCGTGGTCAGCTTGCTCCAGGACTTTTAAACCTCTTGTCTTCCCCATGACTGTTTTCTTTTTTTTTGTCTTTTTGAGACAGGGTCTCACTATGCAGTTCAGGCTGGCCTTGAGCTCACTTTGTAGCCCAGGCTGGTCTGGAACTCACAACGATCTTTCTGCCTCAGCCTCCCGAGTGCTGGGATTATAGGCATGAGCCACCACGCCCCGCTCCATGACTATTTTCTTAAGGATGCTGGCAAGACTGGGTATTCTGGCTGTAACTCCCTTTGATTTTAAAGAAAATCTAAGCTTGGTATGAATGTGTCATTTCTCCTAAAAAGTATACAATAAAGGGCAATTGTACATAAATGAAGCAATAGGAAAAGCAAATATTTTTTAAGGCCTCCAAGGAGCTACTTACTCTGTCCACAGTTCTTTAGGATCCGCACTCGCTCAGACACATCACCCAGGTATAAAGCATTCTGATAATGGCCGCTCATATCCTTTCTGATCTCAGCTGCACCAAGTCAAGAGACAAAAACTTAGGTTTTCTATGGTTTGTTTGTTTGTTTTTGAGACAGGGTCTTTCTATGTAGTTCAGGCTGGCCTTGAACTCACTATGTAGCCTAAGCTGGCCTCAAACTTGTGGCAATCCTGCTGCATCAGTCTCCTGAGTGCTAGGATTGCGGGTGTGTGTCTGTATGCCCAGTAGGTTTTTTCTTAAGTTTTCTTGCTCCCTATTGGCTGTCTCTAAAAATCCCTCTTTCCAACAGTGATTTTAGGGACCTCACCAATCTTCATCATCTTGCGAAGTTTCTCCAGGTTGCCAGTGATAAGGTACAGGAAGGAAAGTTTATCAAAGTTTTTGGTGCGTTGATAGCACATTTCCACAATCTGGTGGTTTCCCTGTAGCAGGGCCACTTCTCCCAGTTTTTCCCAGCAGTTCTTGTC